AAGAATTAGGCTCCAGAGCTGGGCACTGCAGCCACAGCTGCCATGCAGCGCCCAGGAGGCTGAGGCAGGAAGACAAAATCGGAGCCCAGCCTGGGCAACTAAGCGGCTCAGCGAGGTCCTATCTCAAAATAATAATTAAAAAAAAAAAAAAAGAGAAAAGGGCTGAGGGTGCAGCTCAGTGCAAAGGCCCTGGATCAGTCCCTAGCCCCACTGATCAGAGTGGGTGGCCCTGAAGGGACAGGAACTCAGATCTGTTACCTGAAGAGGCTGGCACTGAGAAGAGTGTGGAAAAGCATCCCAGACAGGGAGCGGCGGCAATCATTTCTGCAGAGAGACTGCACTGCACATGCGAAGACCGCGGTCTGAGAGAAACACATCTCTCCAGGGTAAACGGGTTCTTTTGGTTTTCTGAGACAGCCTCTCACTGCATAGTCCAGGGGGGCCTTGAACTCAGAGAAGCTCCTGCATCAGCCCCTGGAGTTCTGGGGTTACAAGTGTGTGCCACCACACTGTCTTACTATTTTTTTTTTTTCTTTTGAGACAGGGTCTTGCTACACTGTCCAGGCTGGGTTTGAGCTTGCAGTCCTCCCACCTCAGTCTCTCAGACTGTTACAACTACAGAGTTTTTAAATTTCTTTCTCTCTCTCTCTCTCTCTCTCTCTCTCTCTCTCTCTCTCTCTTTCTTTCTTTTTTTTTTTTTGCGGAACCAGGGATTAAACTCAGGTCCTTGTGCTTGCAAGGGAAGAGTTTATTCTACTGAGCCATCTCTCCGGCCCCCTAGTTTTAAAATTTTGAGTCAGGATTGCATTAAATTGCCCATACTGGCCTCAAACTCATAATGGTCCTGTCTCAGTCTCTCAGGTGGTTGGGGTAACTAGACTGCAACCACAGTCAGATTTTTTTTCTTTTTTGAGACGGATTTTCCTGTGCAGCTCAGGCTGGCCTTGAGCTCACTTTGTAGCCCAGGCTGGTCTTGAGCACACAATGATCCTCCTGCCTCAGCCTCTTGAGTGCTGGTATTACAAGTGGGCACCACCATGCGGGGGTCCCCAGATTTTTAAGACAGGATCTCATTAAGTTGCTCATGTTAGCCTCAAATTTGTGATCCTCCTGCCTCAGCCTCCTTGTCAGCTGGGATTGATTACAGGTGTGAGCGTCATCCTAAGAGTTTCTGGCAGGGAGTACTGTGGTCTGTAGGTACCAGCATGTAGACGGAACCAGATGAGGATACACCCTGTTAACCCAGAACAGGGATGGACTGTTGCAAATGATCCCTTCCTGCCAGGTACCTAGGCCCCCCAGGTTCCCAGCCTCCCACAGCAACCGCTTTTTCCACATTAGGCAAATCTCCAGAGTAGTCCACCCACACAAGGGAGTATTACTCTGCCAAGAAAAGGAACAAAGCACTGACACACATCATAGTGTGCAGGAACCTGGAGAAAATGACCCTGCGTGAGAATTGAGAGACAAAGGACCCACAGGGTACAACTCTTGATACACAGCATGAAGTCCACAGGGACAGGATGCAAATGTGTGCTAGTCGGGGGTTAACAGGGTAAAGGTTTCCTACTGGGGGGACAGAAAAGCCCTGGAGCTAGCGAGAGGTGACTGTTGCACAACAGCAATGTGTCAAACACCACTGAACTGTACTGCAGCTCTGGTTCAATGGTAAATCTTACACCACAATTAAAAAAAAAAGTCCACAAATTTGTGCCAGGGCATCCCGGCACTCAGGAGGCTGAGCCAGAAGGGTCACCAGGAGTTCGGGACTAGCCTGGGCTCCATAGCAATACGCTGTCCCCAGAAAGAAAAAAACTGGGCTGGGGAGATAACTCGGCGGCACAAGTGCCTGTCCCACAAGCACAGGGTCCTGAGTTCAATCCCTGCTACCAAAAGAGAAACCCAGAACTAAACAAACATACAAAACTGTAAAAACAAACAAAAAAGTCCCCTGAGGGTAGAGAGGAAAGACAGGCCCTAAGTCAGGCTCAGAAGGCAGCAGGTTTCTTTTTGGAGGGTGTCCCATGTCACAGAACAGCAAAGGATCTTACCCTGCAGGGAGGAGGTGCTGGCGTCCACCTCAGGGTTACCGGGATCGGGCTTGCAGGGGAAGAGGCTGAGAACCACCGTGTCCGAGCCGTCTGGGGCTTCACCGCCAGCGTCTTCGGGGTCCCTGAGTTCTGGGGCAGCGGGCAGCTGGGTGGGGAGCCCCTCCGCAGGCCCGGTGGGCTCCATGGGGGTGAGGGGCTGCAGAAGCTGTGGGGGTGGGGGGACATGATTATCGTCAGTTCTTAAAAGGACCCAGCTACTTTTCCAGCCTTGCGCACCAAGGGTGGGTAAAGTGAGGCTCAAAGTCGTGGTCTGTGCTGAGCAATTAAAACCAGACCCACTCTTCGCACCCGATCAACCATCGAGGCAACCGCAACATGAGAACCTTCAGAGCCCAGCCTAGCAGCGGCTGAGTTCGAATCTTCCCAGGGACTTCGAACTTGGTCATGTGACCTAACCTCTACGAGCCTCTGGGTTCCCCTCAACAAAATGAGGAAATGAAGCCTACAATAAATCGCGTCAAAACAGCAGGTGTTCCGATAAGGGCATCGCTTATAAATGTTCCCTGTGGTTCTTTGGTGGGGGTCCCCTAAAATGAGTGATATCACAACAAAAGATGCTACTGGTTCCAGTCCACCCGAACCTCTCAAACGGATCCAGGAGGGTCACTCACCTTCCACGACACTCCTCTGTCACCCCGCGGTGCAAGCCTGGGTCCCCCAAAACTTGGGGGCCCGATGCACAAACTTTTCTCTTCCAATGGATACAGCAGGGACCAAGCTACAGACTCGACCCTCAGCACTCTGGCTTCTTTGGCCGGGACAGAGAGCAACTTGATACGCAGCCGCTACTCCCACCTCAGCGCTCCCCTAATGCGCCTGCGCACCCCCGCCCCCCAAAAGTAGGAAAGGACTTCTGCAGCGGCAGCTACTTCTGGCCCTTTAAGGCTTGGGGAGGGGCGGGGCTTCCGCTGAGGGCTAAACAGCACAGCTACGCCTGCGCATTACTTCCTCTCCGCCCACGGTGGTGGGAGGGGGAGGAGTGGGCGGGGCCTCGGTGTGCTCCAAAGGTGCCGTTGCTCCTGTGCCCCCCCAACCCCAGCTCCGCCCCCAGGTTTTTCCAGAGAAAGCCAATTGGCTTCCATGAGGCGCGGGTAGGCGGAGCTTCCCCGGCGGAGGGCGGAGGAAAGTAGGATTGGGGGTCCAGTATTTTAACCGACGACGTAGGTGTGACCCCCGAGGCCCAGCCAAGGTCCCCTTGGTGGTCTTAAAGCCTCAGGGGCACGTGAAGGGGACACAGCGGGTCATAAGCAAGCCTGTAGAGTCCCCGAGGATAGAGCTGCTCAGCGGCCCAGCGCCTGCCCGGCAAGCGCAAGGTCCTGAGTTCGATTCCCGGTCCCAAATAAAATAAGCAGCGAGGGAGCACGTATAGAGTCTCAAGTGGGCAGTGATGAAGTTTCTTTAAATCTGTTCTGCCCTGGGAAAAGAGGAAGGGGCAGGGGCTCGCTCCCTTCCCCGCCCCGCCTAGGCGTCCCTCCCGGTTCTCAGGGATCTCTGCCCGCTCTCACCGCCTTCCTGCCCCATTTACCCGCTCGCCGACCTTCCCTCCTTCCAGCCCCTCTTCTGTCTTGGGGGTCGGGAGGAACGAGGAGAACGGGCTAGTCGGCTCCGGAACGGGAGCCGTGAGGGCTCTGGTTTCCGCGAGGAAGGTTGAGGCGCGGGGCCCAGCCCGGAGACTTCCGGTTCCCTCTCGGGTTCCCGGCTGCCGTCGCCATGGAGGAGCCTGAGATGCAGCTCAAGGGGAAGAAAGGTGGCGCGGGCTGGGCCGGGCGGCGTGGCGGGCGGGGCGGCGGCGTGCGGTGCAGTGCGGGCGTGCTAGTCCCCGCCGAGTAGCCCTGCAACCCTGCGTGCCTCCGAGCTTTGGTTCATCGTCTGTGGAGAGGATGGTACTTCCGCTGGCTTGTTGCGAGTATTCTGTTTATTTATTTGTATTTTGTGTGCATTGGGTGCAGGTACTGCAGGGTGTCACTGCGTAGCCTGGACTCGTAGCGAGTCTCCCGTTTGCAGCCTCCCACGCGCTGGGATTACGGGCGCGCGCCCCCACGCCCAGCCGTCCCCTGTTTGTGTGTTTATTAGTGCGTGTGTTCAGTAGTGATGGGGGCGACGTGCGGGCTTCGAGCGTGGACTCAGCGCATCCCAGCTCGTGTCCCCTTCTGTCCTGCCGTCTCCTGGCATCCCCGTTTGCAAACGAGCTCTCTCCGTTTTCCATTGTCGTTTATCTTGTTTCTTAAATTACACTTTGGGTTTCTTGTAAAAGAGGGATTATGCGATATTTAAACTTGTGTGCTTGATTTATTTCACTTAAGATGGATCCAAGTACCTATATTTATTTGTTTATTTTGATACAGGGCCTCCCTCTGCAGTTCAGGCTGGCCTTGAACTCACTTTGTAGCCCAGGCTGGCCTTGAACTCACAACAATCCTCCTGCCCTGGCCTCTTGAGTGCCGGGATTACAGGTGTGCACCACCATGCTCAGCCCAAGCAATTTTTCTTTTCTTTCTTTCCCTACAATCTTTCTTTTCTCTCTCCCCCTCCCTGTCTCCTCCTCTCCCCCTCTCTCCCTCTCTCCCTCTCTCTCTTTTCCCCTCTTCCCCTCTCTCTCCCTCTCTCCCTCTCTCCCTGGTTGTAGAGTTTCACTTTTACAGATGAGGAAACTGAGGTTCAGAGGAACTCCTGCCCTTGTGAATCCAAGCTTTGTTTTTCCTGTGAACTTGGAGACTGATAAATAATAATAGGCACAGCAGAACTGTGTAAGGGAACTGAGGCCTGGCATGGAATGGAGGGACATCTGGGTAACTTGGTACAGGAAGAACCTTGGCCAGGAGGTGACATTTGCACTGAGATTGGGATGAGAGGGAGCCAGTATGGAAGGAGTCTGCGGGCACAAAGGCCCGGGGTGGCAGCATACTCAGAGCTGTGTGATGATAGGGAGCCGCTGGTCACATATGGGTGTTTAAGTGTGAATTAATTAAAATGAGGCAAGATTAAAAGTTGAGTTCTTAAAAAAAAAAAAAAGTTGAGTTCTTTAGTGACAGGTGTCTGCTGTGTGCAAGCCAAGGGCTTTCTCCTGAGCTGGATCCTCATCCCTTTTTTTTCTCTTTCTTTTTTTTTTCTTTTTTTTTTTTTTTTTTGGTACTGGGAATCCCTTTGCATTTTTTGTTTTGAAACAGGGTCTAGTTAAATAGTCCAGACTGCTGTCAAATTCATGATCCAGCCTCAGCCTCCCCCGGGCTGGGGTTGCTGGTGTGCAGCACCACACCTGGCCACCCATGGAGGGTTTAAGCAAAGAGGGACAGTGGAGCTGTGCCCTTTTGCAGTTTGCCAAGATGGGACTGCTGGCAGGGGGGTGGAGCCTGGCACAGGACATGGGTGCCAGGTCTGGGCTGGCAGTAGTCGGTGCACTGAGATTTGGGTGTTGTCTTGGGGCGGCTCTAGCAGGATTTGCTCACAGTGGGCCAGGAGGGGTGGGAAGCACTGGCTGGCTGCTCTCTGCAGGTGACAGTGCTATGGCAGTGACTGCAGGAGCAGCGTGGGAGGGAGGGAGAGCCCGAAGGGCTGCTGGGCCTGTCCTCGCTGGGGACCCCAAGGGGATGACAGCCTGCAGTTTTTATCCCACAGTGGTGGTCAGCCCAGAGCTGTGAACCCTTTGGGGTCCCTGGACGTTCTTTGAAGGGGTCTTGGGTATTGTGGGTGAAGGGGATCTGAGGGGCTCTCAGCAGCAGTGGCCACTCCTGATAATGAGTGCCTGGTTTGCACCATGCCCCCTCTCGAGAGGGCCTGCCAGTGCCCTCCCTCCTGCCCAGATGCTGGTGGCAGCTTCTTGAGCCACCAGTGCCCCTCTGCACTCCAGCTGGACTCTCAGGTTGGGCAACAGGGAGTCTGATCCTCTGTCCTCTTGTCCCCACTCCCTTCCTGCTGCCCGGGACCCAGTGACAGACAAGTTCACTGAAAGCGTCTACGTCCTGGCCAACGAGCCGTCTGTGGCACTGTACCGGCTGCAGGAGCACGTGCGCCGCTCCCTGCCGGAGCTGGCCCAGCACAAGGTAAGCCCGGACCTTGTCCCCTGTTTCCCTGCCTCTGTCGGGGAGATGGGGCAAAGATCCCAGGGAAAGGCATGCCAGGCCAGCAAGGGGAGCGGCTACAGAGCCCTAAGGTATGGGGCGGCTGTTCACAGGACACCCTTGGAGGGCAGGCGTGGGCGTAGGGGGCTCAGCTCAGCATGTGTGGGGAGCTCAGGGCCATGAGAGGAACCCTGGGAGCTGACCCCAACCCAACCCGATCCTGCAGGCCGACATGCAGCGCTGGGAAGAGCAGAGCCAGGGCGCCATCTACACCGTGGAGTACGCCTGCAGGTACCTGCTCGGCAACATCCCTCACTGCACGCCAGTGGAGCTGTGGGGTTGCTCCGTGCCTCACCAGCCAGCCCAGCCCCAGTGTCGCCAGACATGGCCCAGAGGTGACAGGTCTTCACCTGCTACCTCTCTTAGTGGGACACTTCGTCTTTAAGACGAGAGCACGTTTCCTGGCAAGGGCAAAGGCCTGAGTTCAATCCTTGGTTACGCAAAAAAAAAAAAAAAAGAAGGGAGCACGACATTAGCCAGGCAGAGGGGCACACGGCTGCCCTTTCTGATCCGGGGATGGGGGCACTGAGGCAGGAGGATTACAGTTTCGATGCCAGCCTTGGCAATTTAGAGACCCTGTCTCACCGGGCAAGGTGGCACATGCCTGTAATCGCAGAGCTTGGGAGGCTGAGGCAGGAGGATCGTTATGAGTTCAAGATCAGCCTTGGCTCCAAAGTGAGCTCAAGGCCAGCCTGATGTACATAGTGAGACCCTGTCTTAAAAAGACAAAAAAAGGGGCCGGGGAGATGGCTCAGTGGAATAAGCGCTTCCCTGGCAAGCGCAAGGGCCTGAGTTCAGTCCCCGGTTCTGCCAAAAAACAAGCTTGGTTGGTGCCAGTCACTGTTAGGATGACTAGCCTTTGGGGCTGGGGAGATGGCTCAGTGGAATAAGTGCTTCCCTGGCAAGCACAAGGGTCTGAGTTCAATCCCCGGTTCCACAAAAAAAAAAAAAAAAGACAAAGTAAAAGAGACCTTGTTTTAAAATCAAAAGACAGGTAAGTGGGCTGGGGCACCCTGGGTTCAGTTTCCAGTCCTGGCAGGCAGATGTAATTGCAGGGCAGTGTGGCTCTGCCCAAGCTCAGAGCTTCTACAGCACAGATGTCTAGCGGCCAAGCCCGGGAACCCTTGGGAGGCTGGGGGGGACTTGGCCATTCGGGACACTGATGCATCCTCTCTGCAGTGCTGTGAAGAACCTGGTGGACAGCAGCATCTACTTCCGCAGCATCGAGGGGCTGCTCAAGCAGGCCATCAGCATCCGGGACCACATGAGTGCCACCTCGCAGGGCCACCGGTAGGGCCGGCGCTGTCCGCCCAGCCAGGAGCCATCGCTTCCTGCCCCAAGACTTTGCTGTCCTCCTCGCAGGGCAGCTAGTGGTCTCCTCCTGGCCTTTGGCATCAGTGACACTCAGAGCCCGAGTTGTGCTGTGTGCTGGGTTCAGAGCTGGGGCCATAGCGGTGACGAGGACAGGCAGGTGCACGGGGACACAGCAGCTGAGGAGCCCACCAGGGACCAGAGCAGTTCGGCTGGCTGCCAGGGAAGTAGGGGACACGCAAGCGCCAGAGGCAGAGGCTGATCTGTAGACCTGCATGTGACCGCATCATGTTGGGGGCAGAGGCAGCAGGAGGGGTGTGGGGGACAGATTGGCCAGGCAAGGACTGAGGAGAGCTGGGGTCGGAGGTGGGCAGGGCCCTGGGGCTGAGGCACCGGAGCCCAGGCCCAGTGACCTGGGAGTGAAAAACACTACCTTCACACGCAGGAGGAGCCTTTTCTCTTTTTGTCTTTATTAGAGCTTTATTTCAGGTTTTTTGAACCAGGGTGGGGCAGTGTAGTTCAGGCTGGTATTGAGCTTACAGCAGTCTTCCTGCCTCAGTCTCTCGGGTGCTGAGATGACCGGTGTGGGCCTCCGTACCCGCCCTCATTATAACTGAATAAATGCACACCTAAGCACCCCTGCGTCACTGCTGGAACCTCGCCCTGGTAAGAGGTGGCTCCTACAGCGTGGGCAAGCCATGTTCATACCCACCACTGTTAGGAAAGGCCATTGGCCAGTTAGCTGTGCATGCGTGGTGGGGTGGGGTGCGTGGGATGCCCTCCGCCCCCCCCCCCCAGCAGGGAGCCCTGTTGACCACAGCTGCCTGTTCAGTAGTTTCCTGCCAGTGTTCGCTTGGAAGCAGCTCCTGGCTTCCAGGTGCTTCCTGGTCCCCTGCTGCTGCCCACCAGGACTCCCCAGTTGACACCCTAGGTTCCCTTAAGTCACTTTGTAGCTAGAGCTGGCCTCCAGATGATCCTTCTACCTCAGCCTCCAGGTGGCTGGGATCAGAGATGTGTGTCACCATACTTGGCTCCCAAATCCTATTTTTATAGATGTCCTGAAGGCTCAGTGGGGCCCTGAAGGGACCTAGATGGGACCTAAACCTACACCTCAGCCATGCAGAGCAGCCTCCTGGCCTCTGGCGTGGTCCTCAGGACTCTGGGTGCTATGTTGCAGCCCTGAGGAGCCACCCTGCACTGACCTGCAAATGCGGCTGGCTGCACAGCACCCTGCCAGACTGTGGTTGGTGAGTGGCCTGTCAGGTCCCCAGCCCCATCCTATGTTACCAGAGAGGAAACTGAAGCCACGGTGGAAACTCGGGTTCCACACCCCGGCACCCGGCCCCAGCTATGCATGGTCCCGGGCTCCTCACTGAGCCAGGAGCAGCCTGCTCCGCTCCAGCACGCCTGCCTTTATAGCTGATTGAGGAGCGGGACCTGTGTTCTGGACTCTTCCCTCCCACCCCACTACCAGACTTGGTCCCTCAGCCCCTTGGACCAGCAGCTGTCTCCACCATGGCCCTGAGGCCCCCCAACACGGGCGCATTTCATGCTGGTGGCCCCCTCCAGCCAGCTCGGCCCCAAATGCAGCTGGGAATACACTGCTGGGCTGCGGGACCCGGCCTGGCCTGGTCTGCTGTGTGATGTGAGGCCTGGTGCTTGCCCTCCCTGGACTCTTGCAGGACACTGGCACCTTTGCCTGGCCTGTGTTCTGCCCAGCAGACGCCCAGGGCAGGGCAAAGCCATCTTCTTACTCCGGGGGCAGGCATGGGTCCTGGTCTGGCCAATCAGAGCCCGCATCCCTCAGGTCACAGTGATTGGCTGGTCTAGGGCCGTAGCAGCTCCGGTTGAACAGGTGTCTAGGCAGCACAAGGCCTGTGGTTCCAGCCCCGCTCCAAGAATGTGAAACCACAGAGATGTGTGGGCCAAGGAGAGGGCTTCTGAGGCGCCTTCTCTCTGTGACAGGGCCCTGGACCCAGCAGTACCTGACGCTGGCAATCAATTCCCACTTCCGGAAGGCTTTAAACTACCCTCTTGGCAAAAACTGCTTTGGGCCCGCCTTCTGCAGGTTGGCTTGGCCAAGCCATTTGAATTCCCAGCTGGAGGGATCAGCCCATCCTGTGCCAACACTCCATGTACCTCAGGGCTTTGTTCCTGCGAAAGGCACTAGGAAGATCAGAACAGGCTTTTGGGGTGCAACCAGGGTGTGCACCAAGCCCAGGGCTCTGCGAGGCCCAGCAGCTTGGTCCTGGGGGATGTTCCGGGAGCTGGGTGGTGAAGCATGGAGTCCTCGGGGGCATCAGGTCTCTCAAGGGGTCTCGGGCAGGCAGGCGGGCGGGCGGTCAGGGATGCAAGAGGTGTCAGGTTGTCCCTCGCCTACGCGATCTCCCCTGTCCTAGAGACGGGCTGGAGCCTCTAGGTGGCCATCTTGAGCCAGTTTCTTGTCTGATTTGCAGACAGGCTCTTTATGTAGGCCCGGCTGGCCTCAAACTTCTAAAGCAGTCCTCCTGCCTCAGCCTCCCCAGTGCTGTTACAGGCATGTGCCACCACGCCCAGCTACCTCTCCACTGTTCAGGCCATGGAGGTGTGGTTGTAGAGGACGCGCAAGTCCACCCAATTTGGTCCGTAGTCATTGTCTCTGCTCCCGCTATTCTGAAGGCACCTGTCATTGTCCCCTGCCCGTGCATCTGTCCTCTGTTAATCCAGCAACACTGTCACTCTTTGTGACTTCTGTGCCCTGCGCTGAGTATTCTGACAGACAGCTGAGATAAGGGGGGGCAGTCCTAGGTGCTTGAGCCACGCCCCCAGGCTCTCTGTCACTCGCAACCCGTGGCTGGGGTCTCAGCCAGCAACTAGCTAATCATCCTCTCTGAAAAGAGACCTGAGTGGAACTCTGGGAGGCCAGACACCTCTATCATCTCGTGTTGGGGGGAACTGAGAGGTCCCGCTCATTTGCAAATCTGATTAGCCCTCCTCGCCTGGAGGACTCCCCTCTTCTGCCCGCCACCAGGGGACGCACGAGGCAAAGCCTTAGCCAGAGCTGGGCTAAGGATCATCGTGGACCCCCAGTGCTGGTGGGCCCCGGTGGGGGTCTTCTCTCTCTATCACCTTCTGTAACCTGGTTCCTGCTTCTCGGTGAATTGCACTTCCAAGAGACTGAATTGCCCCACAGGAGCTTGCGTCTGAAAGCACGAGGATAGAGGGATAGAGAAGCAGTGAGGACTTTGTGCCCAAGGGGCATTCAAGCTCCTGCTAGGCCTGCTGGGCTAAGACTGACTGGAAGTGATCCTAGCTAGGGGTGAGGCGTGGGTCCCTTCTAGGCTCCTTGAGAGCTGAGACTGGGCTGAAAGATCAGAGCGGATGGTGACCTGTTCCTGGACTGCCTATGGAAGTCAGGGTGATAATCAGACTTCAGCTGCTTTCTGACCTGAGCTCTTGGTCGAAGACCTGATTGTTATTTCAGGCCTGCTCTCGGCCCTGTGGTGTCCCCAGCAAGTCTCTGGATGGGTCCCACCCCTTCCACCATGGTGACCTTCTTGAGGCTCTGCGGTTTCTCAAGAGACCCACGGAGATGCTCCTTGGTGCCACCACTCACTGGGCCCAGCCCAGAGGGGGCAGCAACAGACATGTACCCCAACTTCCTAGGTCCATGCTGGGCTGGATAAAGGACTTGGCTGGAGGAGCCCAAACAGGATAGAAAGGGGTGTGGGAGCTGAGGGGTGGCATGGGAGACTGGCAGGCAGAGGCCAGGACGCCTCTGCTCGGCCCCACACAGCCCTTCCCACCACGCCCGTGGCTCCCAGAGCTGCTCCAGCTGCTGCCCTCATGTAACCAGAGCCTGCCTGTTGCATCAGAGGCATCAGGGCGGCCATGGGTAAACAGAGCGGCCCTGGGGGGCCCGGGGCTCCCCAGCCACCTGCAGCTCTCCGAGCCACCTCCTGCACTTTGGAGCCAAGGCAGAAGCCCCCAGCCTGGGCCTGGGCCTGGTGTGTGGCGTTGGGCAAAGTGGGGCAGGCCCCACTACAATGCTAGCGCCAGCCCTAGTTGTATGTCCGAAGAGAAAGTTGCATGGATTCTCAGCCTTTTGGCTAAGATTAAGTGGAAAAGTTGTAGATGGGTGTGCTGTCACACTTCTGTAATCCCAGCACTCAGGCTAAGGCAGGAGGATCGCTTTGAGTTGGAAGCCAGCCTGGACTGTGAAGTGAGCTCAAGGCCAGCCTGAGCTGCAGAGCAAGAGCAATCTCAAAAAACAAACAAACCAGACTTAATGATCCAAACTGCTCACCCCACAGATCTGTGCAGCAGGGAGGCATGCATGAGTCTGCCCTGTTCCCTGCCTCAGTGTCCCCCACTAGTGTCTTCCATGTGCTTCTCCCTGAGCCCAGATGTCTGATTGCTGTCTCCTCAGGAGACAGACACCAGCCAGCGAGGACCCACCTGGCACCCTCTGTGTCCGCCCACACCTGATTCCTCCCCTCAGGCTCCTCGCCCTGCCCGAGTCCCACCCATGGCTCTGCTTCATCTCCTGTGTTCCTGCCCCCCATTCTGCCAACGAGTGCTCTGTGCTCTTCAGCAAATTCATACTTGAAAGCCCAGTCCAAATGCCCCACCCTCTGGGAACCCCTTCCTGACCCTCATGGCACAGCCCTCGACCTCAATTTTGGTTGGCTCCAGCCTCCTATCTCTCCCTGTGGATCAGCGCATAGTTGCCAAGGCTGGCCTCAAACTTGGGATCCTCCTGCCTCAGTCTCTCAAGAGCTGAAATTAGAGGTGTGCACCACCACACCTGGCCAGATCTAACCTGGAAGAGGACCTTCGGACTGTGGGGAGGAAGTGGGGTCGTAGGACTAGCGCGGAGGCCACACAAGTGACACTGCCCTTTCTGCAGCCCTCCGCTGTGAGAGGAGGGCCGGGTCCCTGCGCGGCAGGACCGGGGACCTCAGTGACCTTTCCTTCAGGTCGAAAGAGTCCAGTGGTGATCAGATCGAGACCAGGTCTAGTTTAAGGTCGGTCGGAGGCATCGGTGAGGGCTGGTTTCCTGCAGCCCTCCACTGCCCTTCGCTCGTGTTTTGTTCAGCGGGGCTGAGATGGAACCCAGGGTTCGCACGTGTGCTCCTGGGTCCGGAGCGTAGCGTCCTTCCGCCTCGGAGTCCGGGGCGGGGCCGTGCCTCAGTGCCGCCTATCGCAGCCCCGGCCACGCCCCTTCTGTGAATGAGCGGGGGCGGCCCCTCAGCTCGGGGGCGGGGCCGCGGCTGGAAGACACCTGCGGCCGCGGGCTCAGGCGCTCAGAGCGCTGCTGGTCGAGGTCTGTACCCGGCGCCGAGAGCCAGGCCGAGCAGGTGCGTGTCGCGTGGACGGGATTGGGACTCGCGTGGGGTTCTTCGGGCGCCCTGTGCGCCGGATTGGGCTTGGGGATGCACATGTGCTCCTGAGCTCGCGAGGGCCCCGTGTGTAAGGGTGCGCGCGGGAGGGATGTGACCGGGAGGTCTCTCTGGAGTTAGCGGTGCCAGAAGTCCCTGTGGTCTCATCCGAGTTGCGGTGGGCCCGAGTTGCGTGCACCCCTGAGGCATGAGCAGGGTCCCCATGCACACCTCGTGCCTTCCTACAGGGAGGAGGGGAGAGGACACCTGCTCCTC